GTAAATCTGCGTTTAAGACGTAAATCTGCGTTTAGACGTAAATATGCGTCTAGACGTAAATCTGTGTTTAGACGTAAATCTGTTTTTTGCAGATTACTTTTTGAGCTGTACAACAGCAGCACATTGTCTTTATACTTCTGCTTAAACTGCTCCTAGACGCAAACTGTGTTTAGACGCAATCTGCGCTTAGACGCAATCTGCGTTTAGACGCAATCTGCGCTTAGACGCAATCTGCGCTTAGACGCAATCTGAGTTTAGACGCAATCTGCATTTAGACGCAAACTGCGTTTAGACGCTAACTGTGTTTAAACGTAAACTGCACTTAATCATAAGTAATCTTAGAATCGGCTTTTGCATCAAAATAGTCTTTATCGAACGAACGCAGCTTTCGTTTTTTAATCGCTGAAAAATATCCGCTGCACTAATTCACCCCCCCCCTCTTAGTGCTCTCGATCCTAACAACGAGTAGCTATGAGACCAGCTGCCCCCATTATATGGACGAGTATATAGCATACTAGTATGTTCGGTTATCTCGATGTCCCAATCGAGTAACCTATGACTAGGATTATTTAGGGTTTGTGTTTAAAGGTGAATCTGTCTCATTATCATGATCTCATCACTCATCATGATCTGATTCCTATTGTATATATATATATATATATATATGTATATATATATATATATACAACAGGAAATATCAAGTAATATAATAAGAAAAAAGAGTGCGTATTATATCACACGTGTCATCACTCATATGATTGGCTTGTAGGGCACCTATGACTAGCACTATCGTCGGTCTAGGCGGTACCACCACCAAGACAGCCTGGGAGGTTGAGCCTTAAGCGGTGCCACCGCCAGCCCTGGCGATGCTATTGCTTAGGCCAACTAAGGGTCATTGAATGAGCTTTCTACTTGACCCAAAACAGCCCCAACTCAGACCCAATGGGCCCCTAATTGAGTTAGCATGGTTACACCCCAAAATTGACTCAATTAGACTCTAAACTACTTCAATCAAGACACAATTGATTACAAGCATGAATCACATATACAAGCATGAATCACATGTTGTCTGGCATATTATTAGTTCATCCAGCGCTTTGTTTGACCTTTCAACATATCATCTTCTCCTTCGACGTATTATCTAATCGGCATGTTGATCTCTGCAACATCCGATCTCCTTGACTCAATTTTCAATTCTTCTAGCTTGATGCTCAAACTTATAACACGAAGCCTTCTGTCGACACGTTGACCAGTCTTCCGGCTCGACGTCAAATCTTCTGACATGTTCCAACTCAACATCTGATTCCACTATTTTAATCAATTTATCTTTTCTTGATTGAAGCTAGTCATGTGTCACTTAAATACACATTAGATCATAATTTTATTAATTAATTTTATTATCAAAATATGATATTCAATAAATTTCTCTTTCAAAATAAGTCCAAGTTAGATAAATACTTGATGGACCCTTGGATGTTGCAAGGACTTCCCTCACTCCCTCACTCCCTCCCACCCTCAAGCTATATGAGGATATGACTTAACCCCCTCGACCACACGTTGATTAAGGGTGCAAGATTTAAATGACAATGGGGAAGACATCTTCGACGGAGAAGAATAAATGATAGTACTTTACAGGTTTGAGAGATAAAAAATGGGGATAGGAGGCTCAAAGAACACAAAAGCTCATATTGCAGAATGAGCCCCACAACCATGGAGAGGCCTCTTATAGCCTCCAAGCAGCAGTGCCTCAACTTTCAAGTATCCTATCAGTCTTTCTCGCTCCTTGAATCGACACTAGTACGAATTTGTTTTGCTCAATAGGGTATTGATGATCATTGGAGCTCATTTGGAATAACTCGCCTAATACATTCTTTTCGAGATAAGCATAAAAAAATTATTATATATCATTCTCGATGTGTCTCTTTCGAACTAAACAGTAAATATTTGCTCGATATGTACTTTGCAAACTAATGATGAGTTCTCTTTATATCAATAAAGAAAATTAGAAATATCTATTAAACTGCGCATTATGTATTATTAATATAACGACCCTAGGACTCGATGTTTTATTGGATGTAAAGGTGTTTAAACGAGATACATTTCGCAGCACGCAAGTTATCATAGTTTTGTCTTCATTATTATTCCTTACAAGGTTGATGCATTTGATTCTCCATGGGTGTTTGAATGTTCTTGTGACCATACAAGGGTTACCATCTAGTACAAACTACCATTAAAGGTCAAACACAAAAAATGAACAGATAAAACCTGCTGGGATCTGTCATCTAGTTTTCCTATGACATCCAAAACTATTGGACTGTTCTTTTTCTCATTATTTGTGCTATCAGCATTTGTTGAACATGTATGGTTCTGTGGCATCAAAATGAAATTTTGGTGTTTTGGGCATGATTACATTGTTAGCTCAGCTTTAGGTGCATGGCCTAAGCTTTTGTATAAACTTGTGATCTTGTTCCACTTATTTATATATTCCACTTCTACATTTGCATTTGCCTTGTTAGCCATGTAGACACTTGTTTTGATTCTTCTGGCACTTTCGGTCATTTAACTCTTTGTTTCCCTGGAAGATTCTATTTTTATAGAGGTACTTTTAACACTTGCTTTTGTAATCACAAGTACTGGTGATGACACCTCCACGAAGGAAAGAAAAAAGTTCTAATCGTACAGGCCAGTGATGAATGTGAATACTTGTTACTTCTGTGATACTTCCAAATTCTAAAAGTCTTGACATTTGGGGTGCACGTAAATAGTCTAAGCAGTTTTGTTTGCCTAAATTTTGTGTTGTTAATGTACGTTTGTGTCATTTGCAGTGGATTCTTCATGTCATGCTGCCCACCTTGTTTTTCATTTCAGCTAATCTCCTTGCCTTGTCTGTCCTACATATTTGTTTCAAGATAGATGTGAACCTTCTTACTCATTCCTTACTAACGTTGTGAATGCAGTTAATCGGATGAATTGTGATTTTACCTCACATAAGTTCCGGTGCGATAGTTCTATATTTTATTTTTAAAGTTTTATATATAGTTTGTATATGAAAAGAATAAGTTGAGATGGCCGAGTTGGTCTAAGGCGCCAGATTAAGGTTCTGGTCCGAAAGGGCGTGGGTTCAAATCCCACTCTCAACAAATAGATTATTTTTGTAGATTAAAGATATTTTCCTATTCAAATGTATAATGCGTATACCATTTACCTCCTTAATTTTCTCTATAAGAAAGGGCCGTCGGATCTTTCATTGACGGTCTGGATGAGTTCTCCTTCGGATGGGTGACGTTATCACGCACGGCGTGCGGACCTAACCTCAGATCGTGAAGGGAACGAGGAGGAAGCGTAGAGAGACGAGAACGGAGATGGCGGTGTTCTCAGAGGAGGCGGCGAAGTACGTCTGGGGCGGAGCCATCCCTCTCCAAATCCGCCTCCACGAATCGGAGGTCACCACCCTCCCACCACCTCCTCCCGCCCTGGTACTAAAACCCTCTCCGTTTCTAACAGATCTCTTTCCTCCAATCCGACGCTCCCTTCCGTGGATTTCCTCTTTCTCCCCCTTCTCGATGCGCCTCAGATCTGTGTCCAAATACTACAAACATGTTCGCCGACTCAAAATTACGGCTTTGCTTTTCCCCCGTGTTTCTTCGATCGTTGGTTCCTGTGTGGTTAATCCGACGTTTTACATGTTGTTGACCCTTTTTTTAATGAATATATGTTAAGATCGAGGGTTTGTGATTGTGATTTCAGGTTCTTGGCTCCCGGATCGGGTACTTTCCTCTGCTAGTGCCTCTTATAAAGCCATATTTCAGTAGTACTCTTCCTCCCGGCGAGGACACCGTCTGGTTTGACTACAATGGGTTGCCGCTCAAGTGGTTTGTTCTTTCTGCCATGTTATGAAATCCGTTGAGTACCAAATTACATAACATAAAAGACATAGTTTTGCTCTCTTTATGTGTATTTGGGTGTTGGTACATTTGGTGCTAATGCATTTCGTTTAGGTATGTACCAATAGGGGTTCTGTTTGATCTTTTATCTGCGGAGCCAGAAAGACCGTGGAATCTAACGGTATGAGGGCTATCTGAACTGTAGTTTTGTAATCGTTGTTTACAATGCACATCTGCAGCTTTTTGAACTCTTAAATTTGTTCGCCCCCCTTTTTCTTTTTGCCTTGCATATTAATTTCATTAGGACATGTATTTTTCGTTTTCATTTATAGTTTGTTTCTTCTCATGTAAACTTCAAAGATCTCTTTAAACTTGTTGTTTGTCCATGTTTTGTTGATGTTGCAAACAAATCTTTACATGGTCTCAGAAATGTACTGAAAAATAAATTTTTTCTTATGTTATATGGATTTGAGTGCTAATATGAGTCACAGACATTGTGCATGTGTTGGGTCCATGGTGGACACTAACAATTGTAGGATGGATACTTGATATATATTAGGTCTCATGCAACACCTGCATTTCCTTATGTCAACCAGTGTTACCTATGTAAGTCCTTGTTCTTTTGCATAAGACTTACTGAACTTGTTGAATAGGCCAGATTGGGGCATGATGTTTGTTATTTTGACCTTTGAACTTATTGACTGCGAATGTTCTTAAGTTTTTGCATACAAGTTTGGAGTATTTTTTGACCTGGTTGATATAAGTTGCATATATGATGATCATAGATTATCTAAATTTTTTATGTCATTGATATTTATAAACAAAATGATAGCAACTATGAAAAGTATATATTCATAATTGCTTTACCCATGCTGTGGTGTGTCATGAGATTCACAGTTCTGATGTGTTGGTGGTCTATGTTGTGTCCTATTTTTAGCTCATTCATATCCATGCTTCAGAGGAATGCTTGGCAATTGGCTTTGGAAAATCTAGTGTATCTTTCATTACATATATTGGATGGTGCATAACTATAAATTGCTTCAAAGGTTTGACTTTTAATTACTGAGCATAATTTTGGATTTTATATCATTCTCTTTACCCTTTCCATTAAATAGGTGGTTCCTTTTTTCTCAACATATACATTGCATATCCTTGATATCATGGTATTAATTCTATCATATCTACCGCTGATGATTTATCATCTCATCATGGCTTATTTGCAGAAGCTGATTTTGCTCTATTCTAAATTTGTCTCATCTTCAATGTCCGATTGATGGTTTAGCATATTTACAGGTTCATTTTAGAGGATATCCAGGAGACGTTTTGACACCCTGTGATAGTGAAGACACTGTGAAGTGGAGCTATATTAATTCACTAAAAGAGGTCTGACTTCAAAGAGCATTTTTTCTGATGTAGGCTTGCTTCGTTTATAATTGCTATATTCTATTTGTAGAAATTGCAAAACACACTGAAGTAGGACTCATTTCTCATCAAAAGCCAAAATTTGTAAAGCCTTCACAGGTGACAGGAGCCCATGGATGTTCATACAGTACAAGAAGATAGCAAATTTTGGGATTAACCTAGATAGTGAAGTTACCAATAATCTTGTTATTTAATATTGATGCTAAGATGAGTAATGTGGTATTAGTTTTTCTGTCATTTTTTTTCTTCCAAATTTTTTTTAACCTTCAATATCTATGATACTGGGGTAATGCGGAATAGATTTTAAAAGAAAACCGATAGTATAGTTGTATTTGCTAGAATAAGTTTTTCGGATAGAAAAGGAATGAACTCACAATAATACTTTAATAAAAATCGAAAAATAGCTCACAACCAAGTTTAAAATCACAGAGGAATACAGAAAGTTTACCACCCCAAGGATAATAAACAATGATACAGAACTGAAAACAAAAGACTCACCACTCAAAGAAGCATCCAAGAGATACAGAGTCTAAGAGAGAACTGAGAGCTTCTACTAACATCATCAGTTTTCTAAAACTTTTTCTAGTCCTCAAACACCAAAATAAGTACTAGTACATGAAAAAAATCTTTCAAGCATAAGGAATTATGAATTTAAGTGTTTTACAACTAGTAACTAACCATTTAATACATTCCTTGGTAATGAAGAAAAACACATTGAAATAGCTTTAACTTTGTCTAAGGAATATGCTCATGAGCTATTATATTTGAGTGGGCTAGGTTAAAGGCTATGAGATAATATTGTGGGCTGTATAGAATACCGTAAGATCTGCAAGATCCACACGAGATAATTAGCAAATTATGCACTCTTGTGTCGATCTCCCTGGATGAAAAAGACTTGTCCTCAAGTCCTCATTTGTTCCATTAACATTATTATGATAAGGACTTAAATCAGCCAGATTGAATGTTAGGGATATTTCATAATCTTCAGGTAGCTCGATCTCATAAGCATTCTTGTCAGTTCTCTTAAGCACCTTGAATGGACCATCAGTCTTTGGTTTCAATTTTTCAAATTTACTTAGTGGAAACCTCTCCTTAGATAAATTCAGACCAAATCACCTGCGTTAAACTCCACGTGTTTTCTATGTTTATTAGCAGCTTGCTTGTACCCCTCATTTTGTTTTGCAATGGATGCTTTAACACCCTTATGTAGTTTCTTTATCTGCTTAGCCCTCTCATCGGCATCTCCACTAAATTGCTTAGTTGTAGAATGAGGGATTAAATCCAAAGGACTAGTAGGATTAGCACCATAAACAACCTCAAAATGACTCTTACTAATGCTATGATGCATGAAACGATTGTAGGCAAACTCATTTTGTGGAAGAATGAGATCCCATTGCTTAATGTTCTTACCAACATAAATTGTAACCAAGTTTCCCAAGCTTTTGTTCGTTACCTCAATTTGCTCATCGGTTTGTGGAGGATGAGCTGTTGAAATTCAAAGAAGCACCTAGCTTCCTCCAAAGAGTTCTCTAAAAATGACTAAGAAATTTTGAATCTCGATCAGACACCATAGCTCTTGGAATACCCATGAAATCTGGTGATCTCCTTGAAATACAAATCAGCAATATGTGATGCATCATTTGATTTGTTATAGTGAACAAAGTGAGACATCTTTGAAAATCTATCAACAACCATGATAGAATCTTTGTTTCGTTGAGTTCTTGGTAGTCCCAAAACAAAATCAAGAGTCACTTCCTCCCATAGAGCATTAGGCACTGGCAAATGACACACTCAGCATTGCTTTACAAGTCTCTCCACATCCCATAACATCTTAGGCCAATAGAAATTTGATTGAACAAGAGCTAGAGTCTTGTCCCTACCGAAATGTCCTCCCAAAACACCACATACGCTTCAGCTAGAATTTCTTGTCTCAAAGAACAAGATGGAACACACAAGACATTAGCTCAAAAAAGAAAATCATCAAAGATAGAAAATTATTGAAAAGAACCTGATTTGTAATTCTGCCAAATTAAGCTGAAATTCACATCATTCTCATAGAGATCTTTGAATGTCTCAAATCTAACCACTTTGACTTTCATTGCTGATAATAAAGAATATTTTCTGCTCAATGCATCAACAACTACGTTTTGAATACCAGATTTATGCTTGATTGTAAAGTTATAAGATTGTAGGAACTCCACCCAAGCTGCATGCCTCTTGTTTAGCTTGGGCTGGTGATTAATGAACTTCAATGCCTCATGACCAGAATATAGGACAAATGACTTGGCAAGAATATACTGACTTCAATGAGATAAAGCTCGATAAATGGCATAGAACTCCTTATCATAGGTTGAATATTTTCTTCTTGTATCATTCAACTTCTCACTAAAAAAAGCAATGAGCTTTCTGTCTTGATTCAAAACAGCACCAATTCTCACATTAGATGCATCACATTCAACTTCAAATACCTTGTCAAAATTAGGTAGTACTAAGATAGGAGCTTCGATCACCTTTCTTTTTAATAGTTGAAAAGCATCATTAGCCTCACTAGTTAATTTGAATTTATCACCTTTGAAGCATTCAGTGATTGGAGCAACAATAGAGCTGAAACCCTTGATGAATCTGTTGTAAAAAGAAGTTAAGCCATGGAAACTCCTCACAATGAAGCAAGTGTTGGCTAATTAAGAATAGCTTGTATCTTACTTTGATCCATCATGATTCCATTTTTTGAAATATCATACTCAAAAACTAACATACTATGAGTAAAAAAAATCACACTTCTTCATATTAGCATAAAGCTTTTGTTGTTTCAAAATAAAAAATATTTCCTTAAGATGATTCATTTGCTCCTCTACACTTTTGTTGTACACAAATATGTCATAAAAGTAAACCACAACAAAAGTCTCAATGCATGACTTAAGTATGTGATTCATAAATCTCATAAAAGTGCTAAGAGCATTAAATAGTCCAAATGGCATAACCAACCATTCATATAAGCCTTCTCTAGTTTTAAATGTTGTTTTTCACTCAGCTCCAGGCCTCATTCTACACTCTTGTTGTACACCAATATGTCATCAAAGTAAACCACAACAAAAATCTCAATGCATGGCTTAAGTATGTGATTCATAAATCTCATAAAAGTGTTAGGAGCATTAAATAGCCCAAATGGCATAACCAACCATTCATATAAGTCTTCTCTAATTTTAAATGTTGTTTTTCACTCAACTCCAGGCCTCATTCTTATTTGGTGATAGCCACTTCTCAAATCAATTTTAGAGAAACTAGAAGCACCACACAATTGATCAAGTAAATCATCTAACCGTGGAATGGGAAAACGATAGTTAATTGTGATTTTGTTGATGGCACGACTGTCTACACATATTCTTCAAGAATCATCCTTCTTAGGCACCAACAAGGTTGGAACTGTACAAGGACCCATGCTCTCCTGAATCAACCCCTTTTCCACCAACTCATCCACTTGCCTTTCAAGTTCTTCATGCTCCTTGGGACTTATTCTATAGGCTACCTTGTTTGGTAGGATAGCCCCCGGAATAAGATCAACATGATGCTGGATATCTCTCAAAGGTGGAAGGTCGTGTGGAATCTCTTCCAGTACAATATCTTGAAACTCCTCTAGGATTGATTTCATGATTCCTGGTGTTTCCTTGTGTTGTTCATTATCCTCTACTACTACTAGAGCCAAAACATGACCACCTCTTTCTAATTCACCCTTGCATTCACCATAAGACATAAAAGCACTAACTTCCTTCTTTGGTGCACTGATTTCAAAATGTTGTAATGGAGCTAAAATAATCTTTTTTCATTCACTTTAAAAGAATATGTATGTTTGTAACCATCATACAACACCCTTCTATCATAATGCCAAGGTCTACCCAATAGCAAATTACAAGCATCCATAGGAGCAACATCACACCATACTTCATTTTTATAATACTTGCCAATAAAAAATGGAACTAAACATATTTTAGTTACCTTGATATCATTTCCTTTTTGCAACAGCATAATTAGTAAGGATGCGGATGAAGGATTGTGTTCAACTTTAGCTTCTACACCATCTCCAAAGATACCACATTCTCAAAGTTGCCACTATCAATGATCACCAAGCATACCTTGCCATGAGTAGTGCATTTGGTGTGAAACACGTTCTTTCTCACCAAACTTTCATCCTCAGCCATATAGGACACTTATAAGCTACGTTGTAACACAATAGACAAACCATGATCAGTATAAGTTACCTCTTTCTCATCATCATCATCATCATCATATTTTGGTTCGTCGTTGGCTTCATCTTCTTCTCCATCACTATGATCTTCAATCAAAGTAACAATCCTCCCATTTGGACAATCTAAAGCAATTTGCCTAAAACCATGACATTTGAAACATTTTCGGCCACTTGGGGTAGAAGAATTAAGTGTTTGTTTGTTGCCAACAGAGCCTTCACCCTTATCTTGCACCTTTGATACCACCTTGCTCTGGAGAGTAGGCTTGGAATTTTCTCCTTTCGTATAGCCTTCTTTTGACCCGCACTGAGAACTCTTTTCAAACTTCTATTGCTTTTCAACTTTTAAAGCCAACTTGCAAACATCATTTAAAGACCAACATGGTTGGAGTTGAATCACTTTAGTAATCTCATATTTCAGGCCTCCTAAGTATCTTGCAATGGTCTGCTCTTTTGGTTCCACAAGCTCTCTTCTGTTTAAAATGAGATTATCAAACTCTACTATGTACTCTTCCACACTAAGATCTTTTTGTTTGAAATCATGGATTTTGAGAAAGATCTCTTGCCTATAGTTGTCAAGTAAGTATTTCCCCTTCAACTTCCTTTTCATTTTCTCCCATGTCACAATCTTACTCTTCCCCCCACGTTCTATTTACTTCTTCAGATTTTCCTATCAAAAATATGCATTCCGTCTGAGTTTTAGTGTCATAAGCTTTATCTTCTTTTGTTATGGTGGTTCATGAAAATCGAATATTCTTTCCATTGTATTAAGTCAATCAATAAAGTCATCAACATTAATTTTCCCTTCAAACTTCGAAATATCCAATCTTGGGTTGTATTTGTTCTGTCACTCATCTTGGACTCTATGTGTTGCTTGAAATCTTCCTAACTCCCTTGAGTGAGGAGGTATATCATCATCAGAAATATACTTTTGGGCATCATTTTTATGCTAGTTATTTCTACTTCGAAGTTCTTCAATGATTTCATTTTTTTTCTTGTAGACTATGTAGCAATTTTCGTAGCTGCAGCCTCAAGGACTCATCATCATCTTCATGGCCGTTACCTTCATCAATTGCATCTTTTCCATTCTGCCTTGCCATGATCTCTAACCTTTAGCTCTGATACCAAACTGATTCTGGGGTAATGCGGAATAGATTTTGAAAGAAAACTGATAGTACAATTGTATTTGCTGGAATAAGTTTTTCGGATAGAAAAGGAACGAACTCATGATAATACTTTAATAAAAATCGAAAAATAGCTTACCACAAAGTTTAAAATCATAGAGGGATATAGAAAGTTCATCATCCCAAGGATAATAAACAAGAATACAGAACTGAAAACAAAAGACTTACTATTCAAGGAAGCATTCAAGAGATACAGAATTTAAGAGAGAACTCCAAGAGAGCTTCTGCCAATATTATTAGTTTTCTAAAACTCTTTCGAGCCCTCAAACACCAAAATAAGTACTAGTGCATGAAACAACCCTTCAAGCATAGGGAATTACGAAATTAAGTATTTTACAATTGGTTACTAACACCTTTAATGCATTCCTTGATCATGAAGAAAAGCACCTTGAAACAGTTTTAACTTTGTCTAAGGAATATGTTCATAAGCTATCATATATGAGTGGGCTGGGTTAAAGACTATGAGACCATTGTGGGCTGTAGAGAATACTGTAGGATCAGCAAGATCCACACGACTTGATTGTAGTAAATTAGGCACTCCTGTCAATCTATGTGTAGTGGAGCATAAAGGACATAACACAAGTTTCAAATTTACTTGGGCACTAACATATGTGTATCATGTCAACTACTGACAAAAGCATCTGATAGAAAACTAAAGCTTATGGAGTTGGGCACCTAGTCATCTGTAACTTAAGTTTTTACAGACAGACAATAAGATGATATGATATAGGGTTTTTATCTATTGGATTTAGGGGACTTCCTTGCAAAGGTTGGCCTTAACCTTTCATAACATATATGTCACCTCCTTTTAAGCCTTCAACAAATGGTTGCAACAAATTACTTTGCATGATGTCTTTGCTTCAGTATACAGAATGTGTATAGATTAAATTGTAAGTCAGATCGTTAAGGATTAAAGTGACAGATAATGGGCTTTATCTTAGTGACATTCTTACACATCTTAATATGCAGGCTGCATACGTCATCAATGGAAACTCTAAGAATATCATGAACATGGCACAGACAGATCAGTTTGACCTCTGGCAATCCTTGGTAAAAGGTAGTGAACAATAGAACTGATACTTTAAATAAATTTATTGTTTATAGCATCATATGTGGCATTGAATAGTCACTTTACAACACATTTATTTGAGATGGTGGTATAGAGATGTACAAAGATTGTGACATCAATAAAGCATCTTGAGCAAGGCTGTTCTGTGTTAGTTTATTATTATGTATCCCCCTCTGTTCTTGTAAACACAACATACAAATTTGAGAAATGAGACCAATATTTTCCCATTTCTGTCTTCCTTTTCTAACTTCTATTGCAAGATTTTAACCAGGCAACATGGATGGTTATCTTCGAATCTCATCCAGACTTAAGCTTGGACCTGTTGGCGAGGATTGTTTCTTGAAGCAGGCATCATCATTGCAACCACGACAAGCTATTGATGAACCTGACCCTGTTGGATCCAGTCGACCAAGTATCTTTCCTTTCCTCAAAGGGTCTTTCATCTTTGTATTAGTAACAAATATTTAATAGTTTTGGAATGATTGTAATTTGCAAGATAACTCATGTTGGATCCCTATAAGAATTATGTTACAGTGCAAGTCAATTAAAATAAATTGGTAGAGGAAACTCTTGTCAATGCGAGGTCTAGTGAGGGTCAATGTACGCAACCTTACCTTTAAATATTTAAGGAAGTTGTTTTCGTGACTCGAACCATAGTTTCCCAAGTCACAAAGGAGCAACCTTACCGTAGTATCAAAGCTTGCCCTCTTGATTAAAATCAATAGATAAATGTTAATTCTGTGTATATATACTAGAATATTTTTATTGGAAATAGTAAAGGACTGAGTATTCTTGTATAATAAGTTCAAACTTCATCATTATCTTGCATTTTTTATCAAGTCCTAAATGAAACTTCACCACTTTAAAAAAGTTGGTGGAAGGCTCTGTTGACTAGGCATGGTTAAACGAGAACTCACATGTGTATTTGTTTAATTGAAGAGTCTAATAGGACCTGTGATTATTGGACCAGTTTATTTTTTGCCTATTCTTGTTCCATTTAGTATTTATTTAAATCATTTGTCATCAAGTTTGCTACTCATGTCTGGCTCATTCAGTGCCTATAATATTATTAATGTCTGGGTCTTTGGAGGTGACACCACTGATTCGTTATTCTAAATTATTCTGTGTACATCTTTGAATATTAAAGTTTAATCTATAATTTTTCCATGTCTCCTGAATCATGCTAGCCAGACGTAACTATGATCTCTGTAAATATTTTCTCTGAAGGTGTGATGAAAATTTCAAGATGAATACAACAAATTAAAGCAAAGGCAAGCTAGGAAGTCATTTTCTGTACTAGGTTACGTTGTGATGCTAGTCAACACAAAGTTGACCGTCATATATAATGTTCTATATGATGCTTGCTATTTCAGGATCTGCAATGTCAGAAAACCTGTCTTGGTACAAAGATTCTAGTATATACTTATGACTGGAGGTTACCAATGCTATAAGCTTAGCCTCCAATCTAAACTTAGTTGCGTTGATATTATCACATTTGTAAGTAAAAAAATTCATATTTTACCAAGTCTTTGTCTCTTATTAATGCATCTATTGTCAGGCAGAATTCCTGTTCGGTTGTATATTCGGAATGTTGGTGAATCTCTTGAAGATCTGGAAGATGCACCTATCATTGATAGCTGGGACAGAATTTCTTACATAAACCGAGCGGTCGAGATTCACAAGGAAGGAGGTACAGTCAGGCATTTCACATGAAACTTCTCGACTTTTTCCATCTATGATGCATGTTTGTTGTATTTGCATGAATATATTCTATTAGAGAATCGATGACCACTTTTGAGTCGACAAGTAGACATTTTTTGGTGATAACAGTATTTCCATACAGGCACTATGGGATTAACTGCAAGAAGCAAATGGCTGTCTCTTCATACTATTAAGTATTTACTAGCGTTTGAAGTTTTGTACACTATGATTTGCTCTTGTATCCATAGTCTGGCTGGATGTAGTTTCATTTCAAGCTACTAACACCGATTTATAAACAACTGAATGGAGCAGGCAATTACATGACATTGAAGCATGCCATGAGAACGTTACTGCCAGAAATCTTTGGTGAGGAAGACCCAGATAACAAATATGAACTCAGAGAGGAGGGAAACCATGAAGCTGGTTCCAGTTTTGGAGATCCAGAAACCATCAGTATGACAAGAAATGATTTGGTTGAAGAAACATCCTTTGGCTGCCAGCGATCAAGTGAAGCTAGTCTGATTCGCATCCAAGGGATTGAACCTGATCTGAACATTCCTTTCTCTTGGGTGGTTAATAATCTGAAGAATCCTGACTACTTTCTCCATTTATGTGTGTTCCTCAGAACGTCACCCCGCCAGGCCAAAGCAACATGACATGTACAGAGCCCACTAGTCCAGCAACAGTTATTTCTATGGGTTCATTAGTGAGGATGTTAGTTCTGGTAAATTGGTTGGTAAAACATGAATGATTGATTTATAATTTATTATCTCTCTTTCCAGAAGTCAACTAAGCCATAAGTATTGTACAAATGTAAAAGAGATCGATGCCTTTGTGACTCCGGCTTACAAAATTTGAAGTGTAAAGAGGGATATTGTTTGCATAAAATTGACTACATCAAGAAGATGTTCCAGGAAACGGTTCCTTGTCCAATGCGCTGTGTATAATGCATTTGTAGCGAGCTCGGGGGATAAGAGTTCCGCCAATGTCGGGTGGGGAAGGGTCAATATCATGTGGTACTTCATGCATGTGTAACGTGCTGGTAAATTAGGAAGGTGGTGCTGACTTAGCAAGTCTTCCTCTGTTGGGACATTTTTTGTGATAAATGTTGGTAGATATACACTAATTACATAAAGTGTTCACCATCTTATTTAGCTATTAGAGAGATTGCCAGTGTTGATTTTGGTTCTGAAATCTTGTGAATTGACAGATATCAAGTAGTGCCTACTTCATGTTGATGAAAATATAAATGCACATTAGTTTTCTTTCCACATTTTCAAATGGCAAAGACATTGAGCTGCTGCAAAATGCATCGGTTTTCCTTATTCCAAAGCTTACGTAACGAAGAGCTATCACACGTCAGGTAATGTTTGTCATCTTGAACATTTAGAATCGCACAAATCATACTAGAAAAAGGTATTGATTACCCAAACATTTGATATCAAGTTGCAAAGATTCATGAATCAGATTGTAATAGCGCTGAAGCATCTCAAGCAAGGAGTATGGCACATTGCTGTCTAAATTGTCTCCAGTATTGCACTTGATATCTGAGGAAGGTCAAGAACATGAGTATGCAACAATCTTCCAACAAATTGCTATTGAAAGAGTAGACAAGGAGTACGGTTAAACCAATCGATTCTGAGATTTATGTTATTGACCAGTCACAGTTTGAACTACAAAGTACAGAATCGGACATCTCAACAACTATCTGCTTTGGACAACTCGACACAAAAATGACTATCTGAATGATGAGATCTGTTTGTTTTCTCAAATGTGATGAAGAGAAAGGATGAAGAGAAAGGATTACAAATCAAATCGCACATTCCATTTACCATTGATGTCTGCATTAAGAGTCCAATTATTTTCCCGGATCTGGAAGTATGGCACCTGCATCAGAAGGAAAGAGCATAAATGTTTAGAAAAAAAGGCTTTGAAGATATTCTAGAGTCCTATTATGTATATATTCATATATCAACAATTCATGACCCTCTGTTTCATATTCCCCTTCATCCTCAAAACAGTAGCTAAATTAATGATCTCATCAATTAGACATTTGTCAATTTCATCCTGTTGGTGGATATCGTTATTCTTATAAGTCACTTAAAAATATCAAATTCTACATTACGTAAGTAGATTATCTTTTTGGGATTAAATTATGTTAACATTGAAATATTTCAAATTGCATTACATACAAAATTGTAATAAATTATATGTACTTGCATGGGCAAACTGAAGAAAGGATAATATAAAATTTTGGTGTAACATCCAGCATGTGGCTTCCGAATAAAAATCTACTTTGCAAATAAATTTTAACGGATAGTCTATATCAAAGGGAAAATTGAAGCATGCTACGATTAACTAGACTTCTTTAATGTGCACAAACAGTAACCAATGCACATGGTTACAAGATAGCTATCACCAAGTGTTCAAATCTCGGTCCAAAGCAAAAATACTGATTGATATGGCTCCTGAATGGATGAATGTAGCAATAATTGGAATGGGTCAGTACTGCCTATACCAAGAGAAAGGTGGAGAGAGAGAGAGAGAGAGAGAGAGAGAGAGAGAGAGAGAGAGAGAGAGA